GAGCGTTTGCACCAAACTTTCAGGACGACGCTCCTGATGTGCACGGCGGCGCTGCCACAGTTTGGCAACCTGAAGGTCACCAAGGCGGAGCTGGACGATTGGTATGATTGGTTCTATGGGGAGGACATCGCTGGTAGAAGGCCTCCCCCGAGTGACACCACCTTGCTGTATGCAGAGCGCAATGCGTGGAGGAAGATCCACGAGTTGGTGCACCAGGGCACCACCCTCTCCGATGCCCTCAAGAACATCTGGGGCGACTTCCTCTTCTGGCAACGAGAGGTCTATGAGCACCTCAATAGGGCGCCTGAGAAGGGGAAGAACAAGGGCAAGGCACCTAAGGTGTGGCAGACTCAGTGGGAGAAGCCGAAGAAGGGGGGTAAAGGCGCCTGGCCCTCGGGGCCGACCCGGTCCAAGCCGAAGGGCAAGGGCGGCAAGGGGAAGTCCCCCAACTCCCCCTCAGTTCCATGGCCGGACCACTGGGCTTTCAAGAATCCCAAAGGGGTGGCGTACTGCAGAGATCATCACCTCCACAACAAGTGCTCGGGATCGTGCGGCCGTTCCCACAACTGCCCGGTCAGGAAGGATGGGTGGGTGTGTGATGCCCCCCCATCGAAGCATGCGCCACAGGCATGCCCTCACCTTCCCAAGTGACAGGAGGCCACTCAGGGTGCCATAGGCCCCGTGGCTTCCCAGTCTCAGTTGGGATCACAGGCCACCAGTGCGAGAGTGCACACAGAGATGGAGACCCAGCCCCACCAGAGCCACAGCGGAAGGCAGACAGAGCGGGGGAGGCCAGGACGGCCTCAGATGGGGGGGGACTTCTCCAGGGTGCCACCGGCCCCGGAAGCCCCTCCACCGAAGAAGAGGAGCGGTCCCAGCCAGGGCACTCCAGAAGGGCGGAAGCATCCCTTTCCCCCGCACCCACCGAGGCAGTGGGAAGACCTTTCAGAGAGACCCAGAGGTGAGGATCCGCCCAGCAAGGGGCGCTCCAAGGGCGGGAAGAACCGCCAGGGCAAGCATCAAGCCCGGGGACAGATGACGGGGGGATCAGACAAAGGACACGGAATCCCTAGGGGGGGCAAACCCCACCTTCCCATGGATGCAGCACATCCCGGAAAGACTGAGGCTCAGACTGGGGTGGACGCCGAGGCCAGTGCCGGGATCTTCAAAGCCGTCCCTCATCCTGCTGTACGCTGGGAAGGATGATGCGGGGGCCCTGGATGCCTACCTCCATGCCTACAACCCGGCCTTCTCGGAGTACATTTGGGCGGTGGATATCAGGAGAAAGGGCGGAGACCTGGGCCAGGACATGCTGGGCGAGGAGCCCTACTCCACGATGTGCTCCATGGCCATGGCGGGCAAGGTCGCATTGGTGGGAGGGGGCCCCAACTGCAGGACGTGGAGCATCCTCAGGTGGTTCCCCATCGCCGGTGAGGGGCAGAGCGGAGCAGACCTTGTGGGGCTTGGAGGACTTGGAGCCCCGGGTTATGGAGGACACGGACAATGACAGCGTGCTTATGCTCCGTCAGATGTACCTGACCTCGCTGGCCTACAAGGGGTTAGGTCAGCTGACGGTCCCGCAGGTTGGCTCCTCTTTCCTGGAGCACCCGACCCGATGGAGTGCAGCAAGAGCCCGAGCGCAGCTAGGTGCTCATCGATCTGGGTCACGCGGGCCTACATTCAATGGGCGAGTGCACTCCACCACTCCCTCATCAAGTTCGATGAGTGCCGCCTGGGCCAGGTGGTTGTGAAGTCCACGGCATTGTCAACGGACCTTCCTCTCCACCATTGGCATGACCTGCGTTGCAACCACGGGTCGCAATTCAGGGGAGAAAAGCTCAACTCCAGTGACCTCAGCCGGTACCCGGAACAGATGATGCAGGGTCTAGCAGCGGCCATCCTTTGCCGAGCGGGACCCGTCCGAGGCCGGGTGGCATGGCGCCCCAGGCTAACCCCACGACCCCCCCGAGGCGTCCAAGGGAACCTTCTCCCAGCACGCCGGGGGACAACAAGCGCCAGTCCCGGAGGCTGAAGGCGGGCCAACAAGCGTTGGCAGGTCTGACCTTGGGATCACTTCCGGTCTCGGCCTCGGACACTCCAGAGGCTGGGACATCGACACAGAGGACTGGCGAGGTGGAGGAACTTGGGGGGGGAACTCTTCCCCTGGACCCATGAGCACACCAGGGCATGGAAATTTCGGATCGGCCTACCATCCTGCCGATCACCCACGACCCCAATATCTCCGACAAGGTCATGTACCTCCAGATGGCGTTCAAGCAGCGTCCCTTAAGAGACGGTGGAGGAAAGCCCTCCTTGGGACGGTTGGCCCCGTGGGCCCGGCCACTCGCTGTCCAAAGCAGCAGCGCTGGGGGCCAAAATCTGTGTCCTCACTTCGACGTGGGGGGACAAGCTCCAGAATTCGCTCTCGTTGGGGGATGGGTCACATCCCTTCCCTGAGGACCTGCTGGAGGACATCAGGGAGATTCTGGCGCCGGGGGCAGGCCGACCAGCGGACGGCCAACCCTTCTTCCTGGACATCTTGTAGCTCTGAACATTCAGGACCCCGACCACCAGTTTCCACGCGACCTGGAGCAAGGGGTTCCACTGGGGGTCACGGACCCGCCCCTGACCTCGCCGGGCATCTGGCCACTCAAGAAGGAGCTGAAAGGGGAGGAGCCGGAGTTCCAGGAACTCCCCCACCCAACGGGCAGGGGTAACTACCCCTCGGCGGATCACTTCAGCGAGCTCATCCGGGGCACATTTCTGGAGGAGGTTCCCATGGGCATGGTGGAGGGCCCCTTCAGTAAGGAAGAGGCAGCATCGCGATGTGGCTGCGGAAGCGAGGACCTTTGTCCCGGCCCCCTGGCGGGCATCGACGAGGGGGACAAGATCCGCACGATCTACGATGGCTCGGTGGGAGGGGCCAATGACACCATCAGGAACCAGACGGTGGAAAGGACGACGGCTCCGACGGTGCTGGATGGGGTCCAAGCTCTCCATTGGCTACATGCTGCAACTGAGGTGGGACCCCCCTCTCAGGGTGCCGAGGGGGGGATCGTCAAACCTCCACCTGGGGGCTGGCTATGGCCGGAGCCGGGCACCAGGTGGGTGCTGCTCAAGGCGGACGTCACCAAGGCCCACCGGAGAGTGAAGGTCCTCAGGAAGGACTGGCGGTTCCAGGTGGCCTCTCTGGGGGAAGAATGGTGGGTGTTCCAGGTAGGCACATATGGCATGGCCAGTGCCCAATCCTTCTGGGGACGCCTGGCAGCCCTTCTGCTCAGGGTCCTCTACGCGCTTTTCCCCCAAGTGGATTGGAACTTCGTCTTCGTTGACGACTTCCTGTGGCTGCTTCGAAGCGAGGGGGCAGTGAACTTGGCGGTGGCGCTGCTGGCCACACTCCTGGCATTGGGCACCCCACTTAGCTGGAAGAAGACGCACTTGGCGGAGGTCAACACGTGGCTGGGCTTCGTGGTCCACCCGAACATCCCGCAGGTTCTCATGGCGGCCAACAAACACATCCTGGTTATGGAGGTGTTGCAGACCATGGTGGAAGGGCAGGCGATGCACTCATGTCCGCTGGCGAAGTCGATGCTCCAGCCACTTTGGGCCTGGAAGATGGCCACCACCACGGTGGGAAAACCCTCTAAGGTGGTCAGGATGCTGGCGTTCATGCTGAGGTTCCTCTTCAACACCCCTTTTGTCCAGTACTCCCCCTACTTGCCGAAGTCCTCTTGGTGGGGTTGCAGCGACGCTAGCGCCTCGGACGACGGACTGGCGTTCGTGGGAGGTTGGTGCTCCAACACGGAGGAACCGGACAAGAAGGAGGTGTACTGGTTCCATGAGCAGATCCACGTGGAGGAGTACCCTTGGGCTTTCAAGAATGGGGATCCAAAGCGGAGGATTGCGGCTCTGGAAATGCTGGGCACGCTCTTCCTCTGTAACATGATCCTCACGCACCAAGGCCCTCTGTCCTCCCGGGTCCGACTCCCGGTGGGCAGTGACAATCAGGGCAACGTCATGGCGATGCTCAACCTTGGATCCAAGAAGCCCTACACGCGGCGATCCTGATGGAGCTGGTCTTCCTGCTCCACACCCATGGCTGCTCGCTGGCGGCCAACCATGTGCCCCGTGAATTCAATCAATGGGCTGATGAGCTGACGCACCCAGATTTCTCTGGGTTCGACCCTTTGCAAAGGGTCCCCAAGCAGGAACTCTGTGAGGAGTTTGTTTTTCTCCCGCGTCTCCTGAATGGAGATGCATTCGATCTCAGCGTGGGCCCACCCATGCTCCCGTGACCGGAGCCGGTGGGTGACTCACTTCCCCTGGTGGCAGACCCCCCTGTGGCCTGGGTGCCACGGGCCCCGTATCAGTCTGCACACCCGTTCTTCAGTTTTTGAGAATTGTGAGTTGCAAGGTGGCCCATGAGGCCCACCCAGCTTTGGTCATCTGACAGGGGAAGATGAGTCCCTGGCACCAACACACTGCTCGGATGAAAGAGTTATCGCGTGCTCGTGTGTGGTGCCGTTTGGTTAGCTTGCATACACTTATTATTATTATTCAAGATAGCTCTGTTTTTTTTTCCGGGTTTCAGAGCTGTTTAGGGTTGTTCATGGCGATCATATGTGTCGGGTTGCACTGGTTTAGATTGCTTGTATTCCACTTACCAGGGAAACTCATGGATTTGTCCAAAAGGTCACTTCTGATGGGTCCCCTGGCTTTTGTAGCATGCCTCCTTATCCACCAAATCACAAATCCAAACCAGCAATTGGAGGAAAGCTGATTGGAGGAAAGCTGACTTCGTGATCTATGTTCTGGTCATTTGATTCCCTGCGCCCAACACCGACAATTTTGTCTTCCAGGGCCGTTTCACCTCTGTTTTCTTTTTTTTTGGGGGGGGGGTTCCCCTACTAAAATAGACTACAGAAAAAAAGCTGGCACCCTTGTTCTAACCTGTCTACTGGAGGACCTAGTTGTTTTTTCCTTTGGTCCTTTTTTCGCAGGCCGAGGGGGCTCCAGTGGAGAAGGCGCTCTCCGTGCCACCGGCCCCCGAGTCGTGGCTTGACAGATCCGAGCCGTGGAATTTCCATATAGGGCTTTTCTGAGATCTGCCCTCTGCCTGGTGGAATTTTGGGCTGATGGTTTTTCCCCCCCCCCAAAAAAAAAAAGAAGAGAAAACAAAAGGTGAAGGAGTCCGTTTTGGATGTTTTCCTGGCGGTTTTCCTTTCAACCAACCCGAAAAGTCAGCGCCCCTCCAATTGGTGGTTCGGATTGGGGGTGTGGTTGAGGGGAGGTAAACTCCATTTGCCCTTCGCAAACACCAAGAGTTCAAATCCCCAAACCACACCGGGTGAAAGGGTGGTGTTCAACATCTGTCGAGGGTCCCCTGTACTTTTTCATTCACCTTTTGGTTGCCAATTTCCAGTGACTTTAGTGGGGTGATGTTTTAGAACAGATTTAAGGTGAGCCCTGTTCCAGGGAACTAACAAGATAGAATCCGAGTAAACCAGGTAGAATCAACTAGAACCAGTAGGGACCAATGCGATTCTGGGAGAAAGAGTACGTTCACTGTTTCTAGCGGTTATCCGTTATTGGTATATTTATGTTTGAGGCACCAGAGGAACTTTCCATTTTACTCCTGAGCCATTCCGCTATACGGCAGAGCTGCACTTGGTCAAGCTGCAATTGAGAATTGATGACAGAGGAGCAACACTTACTTGTACGCAGGAGGTGTTACCAGATCCGGCTCGAACAGGTCTAAATCTAAGCTGTTTCAACTGCCAGTGGAGCAGACATCATGGCGATCAATACCTCCACATTCAGACATACGCCACGTGTTTGGAACGATCCTTGCAAGCCTGATGCCGCAAAGCTCTTTCACCCTGTAGACAGAGGGCTGGTAGTGAAGATGAGGTCTGGCGGTGGCGGCTGCTTTGTCTACTGCACGAACCGCAGTGCCGGGAGGCTTATTCGCAACGTGTGGCCAGGCGTTGACATTGGCGTTGAGGAAGCGATACAGCTTCGAGCTAGGGGCCTACTGTGAATGGACGAAATATGGCTGTGGGTCAAAAATGGGTACCATTGGGTACCCATTTTGGAACCCTAGTAAATGGAACCAAAAGACCAAAACCTACGGTCTCCTGGTGCTTTAATTTTAACCCACACCCATGTGACGAAATCCTGCACCACCTAAGAAACCCTGGAATGATGCTTCCCCCCCGTAAATGCAAAGGCACAATGGTTCGCCATGGTTTCAACGCGGTGCGAACGGCTTTCGTCCATCCACAGTATTCAAATCGCCGGTGAGAATTGCAGCTTGAAACCGCCAACCGATTCAATCCCCGACCTGTGGCAAGCACGCTGATCATTCCGGCAATTTCGCGAAGAATTTGCCGTCTTCTACCCCCATCCTTTCAAGCTTTGTTTGGGGATGCTTGGAGTTCCCTTCAACCCGGACCAATAGTTTCACATGTCCCCAAATTTGTCTGTTGTATCATGCCGTCTCGTTGGGCCGGTAAAATACAAACCAAGCTGCATCATGCGCTCGGTAGCTTTTCGGGACTGGAGCTCGTTTAGACGGGCTCTGAATGTGGCTGGTTTTTAGGGAGGCCCTTTCCATTCATGCCAAGGTACATGTTCAGCGAAGTCATCAGGCCGGGCGGGGGCTTGCAAAAAGGGGACGGCAGGTTAGACTCCTTCTACGTCTCTTGAGGAATCCACGAGGTGCCCTCCTTCCAAACATCAAGGTGAACTGGGGTGCTTTTTTTAAAGATGACGGTTAGTCTTCCAGCACCATCTTGTCAGCTTCCCCGACTATTATGATTGTTGGAGACGGAGAGAGGATAAATGTACATGACCGGTTTATCAAGGCATAATACAAACAAGGTTTATGTCAGGAATACCTGCACAAACTATGAACAAACACTACACTAAACCGACACTAAACCAACTATAAACCCACCCTAAACCACCCTACACCAATCCCAAGCCAACCAACAAAACACAATCACGCAGACAAACCCAGCCTTTCCTGTTTCCCCCAACCTTTTTCCCTTTTTCCTTCCTGTGCCCTCTATCCACAAGCATTTGTTTAAACCGAAGGCGGTGTCAAACAAAAACTATCTGTTCCCCGGAGCCTTTGTTGGAAAGGGACACTATAAGTTGTTCGACGCGACGACGGTTCATATTTTGAGGTTCAATAGCCCAAACCATAGAGAATCCAATTCCCTTCCAGCAATCATGGAAGTCAGGGGGCGCCCCCAGAAGGAAAGCTTCCGTGCTCCAAATCCCTCGTGTCAGCTTTCAACGACTCACTGCCTGGAAGACTTTGAACTGCTTGCTTCCATTTGCTTCAGCATATGTTTTATTTCCCCCTGTTCTAAAGGGATCGATCACCATTGGACGCATTTTCTCATTTCTTTCCGGCCGTTTTCGCACGCAAACGGAGGTGTCTGAAGCCGTTTTCGTGGCAAACAAGTTCTGTGCCCAATCCACTCGATCGGTGAGACAGGAGGAGGTGACATTGAGATTCCTGGCCCCGCAGTCACCCGGTATGCCCGGACCCTCGGTTTTACTCGCTTGCAACGAATCAAGCAAAGGGCGAATCGTAGAGAGCAGACCAAGTGGAATCCACGAAGCTGGACGTAGATTGCGCGACCTCCGCATTGCTGGCTTTGTCATACCCTTTGCTTGCCAAGGGTTTGTTCCATCTACTTTTACCCTTCTTGGGAACACATGCACCCCATTCATAGACATGTTGATTTCCAGTTCCGCCCTGGAACCTCGATATATTCATATCTATGGCACTCTGCAAAGCTGCCACGTGCAAAACTTGTAACTTCACAATGGAATAGCGCGTTGCGCTGAGCGAAATTGGATGCATGAACACCATGTCTTGAGTGCTTGTATCATTTCTGTCCAAGGGGAGGGACCCTATTTCAATAATAACCAACGTAGAAAAGCTGGGAACCTTCCTGGGGCATGAGGAACGCATGGACAACATAGGTATTTACATACTATACGTGCATCTACAGGGCGTGTATCAGTTGCCTATAAGAGTTCCCTTTACCGGAGGTACCTTTGCCAAGTGTTAGCCTGTGAAGCACGATATATCGATGATTGTGTGGGCAAAGGGTTCTCATCCTTTGCAAAAGACACCTGGTCACTGACTGGCAGTATGGTGCACACAATAAGGACTTAAGAGGACGGGCATGTTTGCTTCATAGCGACTAGTGGTCATGCAGGGGTCTAGTTGCAACCCAGCCTCACCAAGGTTTCAGCACTTGACAATTTTCTAGTTGTAAGCATTTGTTGAACGCCAAGATGGCTGCAAATGGCTAAAACCTGCCAGCAAGAACTCAAGGGCCTTCTTGAATCAAGTGGCTCGCCCAGCTGATTCTCAAAGCCTGTCCACATTCGGCTTCAGGGCTTTAGGGGGGATTTTGCTTGGGATCTTGCCAGCATCCTGCAATTACAAGGCTTCTGCAGTTTCAAACGCATGTTGGAGCGCAGATCAGTCGGATCCATGGTTTTCTTCCAGTCATTTCACAGGGCTCCTTAAAAGATCTCCATTTTGCAACCATTTTGAAACATGTTGCCTTTTTCAACACCAAACTAAAGTTGGAAACCACCATTTACAAGTTGCAATGTTCGGGTGTTTTTTCATGTAAGGATCCTTGTTTCAATCCCTTTTCGAAGGGGGCGGCTGAAACGAGAGGCGGTGGTTCGACTGACGTCTTGCAATTTATCGGAAGGGTGAGTTAAGGTATTTGATTGTGCTACCTTATGGATCCTTGATTTTAAGATCTTACTACCTTGTCATAGTTAAGATGTTAAGATGTTTATTTAATCGGTATTTGGCTTGATCGAGCCTTGCATCGCACATGATTGTGGCTACCTTGGAATGGATCCTTGATTTTAATATATTTCTACCTTGTCATAGTTAAGATGTTAAGATGTTTCTTTAATCTGTATTTGGCTTGATCGAGCCTTGCATCGCACATGATTGTGGCTACCTTGAAATGAATCCTGGCCTTTTACCATGGGGGACTATTGAATTCGGTTTTGATGAGAGTTTGCTGTCACGCCCTTGCTTGCAAGATTCCCAATGCTTTATGTGTCACCGAGGGATGCTGAAGTGCGTGAGGTTCTTGTGGATGGGTTTTAGTGATTTGGTTAAAGTTACAGGGGCATTCACAAAACTCCTGGCCACAGGCGCCCCATCCGGGTGTTTCCAGAGTTTGAGCTCCTTCTCAAGCTTGAACAGCCTAGTGGGGTCAACCACACTCTCCGCGAGGTTCTCTTTCTTTGTGGTCTTCTATGCGGATGCGCATTTCAGCCAATTGGCCGGGAGCCCAGAGAAAGGCAACGCGAGAGAGAAAGAGCTGCAAATCAGTTTCTTTCTGGCGGCTGAAAACTCAGCTTCACCTCTCCAGGCTTCAAAGTCGCGGCTGAGAAATGACAGTCTGACAGACCAGTGGCAACAGAAACCCCCAACTGACAACGTCACTTGTTTTAATCAGGCTGCACAGGTCTTGGGGGGCAAGACATATGTACATAGATATACGGTATAGATGCTGTTTTGCTGACTTGTTCTGATGCTAGGTGTTTCTTACAGCTTGAAGCAACCTGACTGATGCTTTCGTGAGGGCTCAAGGTCTTATACAGGATTGTGGAATGATGAGATTCGTTTGTATGTGGCCCCACGTTTTGTTTTTGCTGGGTCACGAAAATAGACACCTTTCTTTGGGCGTCCGTTCATAAGGGACGAGCGACGAAGTAGCGGCCCTTGTTGGCTTCCTATGCAGTTTGCAGGCGGCACAACATTTCGCCTTCGACAGGCTCCAAAAAAGGCCCCACCTTAAGTTTAGTATTAGGGTTCAGTCCTATTTGGTCTTGAAGTGACGGTCTGTCAGGTTGCCATATGTGTATGTGTGTGTGTGTTGAAGCATAAAACAACTCATTGTGTTTGTGTTGTTTTTGATAACATATGTTGATGTCTACAATTCAGTAAACCACACTGACAATAACATCTAAGAATGACAAAACGTATGTGATCCCCGTATGACAACAAACAGCTTAAACAAACAACCACCCTAATTTCGGTGCATTTTACTTGGATCTTAGGACTTTCACTTTTTGCCTTCTTTGATAGGTTGTCCATTAAACCCACTAAAAGTTATTCACTTTTGGCGGAGAAGAAAGCAACCGACCTTGCCACATGTTAGCCACCTCTCTCAGGGCACATTTTGGCGGCCAAGCAACCAACCGACGCCAAACCACTTCTTGCGTATGGCGATAATCCCAGGCCGAAGCCCGAAGCCTCGTGTCAAAACGGAGAAGGATGGGTACTAAACAACTAGGTCCCCCAGTAGTGCCCTTTCACCGTTTCCTTTTCGGGGGAGGGTTCCCCTACTAAAATAGACTACAGAAAAAAGTTGGTACCCTTATTCTAACCTCTCTACTGGAGAACCTAAACAACAACCGGGTAGGGTCAGTGCAGGTGGCCGCGCAGCTGATCCAAGTGCAGGGTATGCGCACTGAGCGGATTCGTCTGGTCGGGGGCCCAGCGGGTTGCCGCGCGCCGCGTGCGGAGGAGGCTTGAAACGGTGGGGTGAACGCGGGTGTGGGGAGGACCCAGGGTCCAATTTGTCAAAATCAGGGGCCCTTTTCTTGAAAGTTGCTTGCGGATATGTCGTGTTAATTGTCCTTGCTAAGGTAAGTAGTACTATTTCTGTTACAATAATATTTCGTGTTTATGATGTAACATCTTGAGAATATGTCGTGTTACAGTCCCTAATTCCCTCGTTCAAAAGAGGTTTTAGAAAGGGAATGCTGGATGTTCAAAGCCCATTTTTTTCCAGGGGACTCGTTAGCAAATTTGGAGGGGACTGTTTTGGCATCCATTTTCAAAGGCAGCACAAGGGCCGACGGGGGACGGGGAATTGAAGGCAAGGGGCAACTTATGGAGGGCCACACGGGCAGGTTCCCCTTGGGGGTGGTTGTGCTTTTGGTTGTTGGTTCTGCTTGTTGCGGGCGACCAAAAGCAAGCAGGCCATTGGTTCCTGTGGGTTGGATTGTACCTCAAACAGTCGATGATGGAGTGTTGGATCGCACCGAAAATGATCACCCCCAACAAGGTCCTTTGACCAAAAAGAGGCAATTTTGTGACTGGTGAACATGCTCACGGGGACGACCCAAGCACTAGTGTTTGGTGCACAGGCACGTGGTGTTCTAAAAGGAGTGCGGGCACTTCCACATTTGTCCGTAATACTGTTGTCCACCGTAGGGTAGCACAGGTACGTAGTCTTCCAAAAGGAGTTTGTTTGTTGGTAGGGTACTCGGTTTTTTGTTTGTGTTTGACGTTTATTTTTTCAACATGATGAACACACTTGGTTGCCCTTGTTCGCGTGGGTTGGTTGTTCTGATTGGAAGTGGGGTTTTGACCCCGTCCAGTTAAAAACGTTCGGAAGGTATGCATCGCTTCAAACCACAGGGCCCCAAATTTCGAGTGGTAACGTAACGCCCCATAGAAAAGAGATTAGAAACCCACGCACACAGACATCAAGCAAGAACATGCAGGCGCGTTGAAGCTTGAACGCACTTGAAGATCAACAAGCCGATTTCAGCCCTTCAATTGCCCCATGACTGCTGTTTTTGTTCTTAGGACTGTACTTGGGCTCGATGCAACGTATGGCTCAAAGCTGTCAAGTCAAGCCCTGCTATGCTAGCCCAAGCACCGCGACCAAGACGCTAGGGAAGATGATTGAACATTGTCGGATTCGGTGAGTCTTGGTTTGGTCACCAGTGACATCCATCCAGAACTAGATGGTGTACAGTGACATCCATCCATTCAGGGAATAGTCTATTCCCCCTATTAATAAATACGGCCCCCCCCCCCCCTTTTTAAATAAATCCACCCAAATATTCTATAAATATATATATATATATTTTAATTGGGGTTTTTGGGGTTGGGTTTTTTTTGCTTTTCCAACAATGTGAGGGTTCGCATAGGATTTGGAGGAAATGGATTGAATTGTAAGGTCCGCGAGTAAGCGGTTTAATAAGGAAATTTGATGTATCATTCTATTTGTTTACCAGTTTACTGGTTGTTTGTTTGCAGCCAGGCAGGTTAATTAGCCAGCATGTACGGGAGAGAGACAGTCGCAGCTAGACAGCTTTTGGGGACATGTTTTCTTTTGAGGAACCCACCTTTTTAAAAGTGGGGCTGGAAGCTTGCTAAAAGTGCCCCCTAATAAGGATTCCAAGACTTTAGTATTGGTTTAGTATTGGCGCAATGGAAAATCAATTGTGCGGAGTGGAAATCTGGTCTCGGGCCCCGGATTTGCATTTATTATTAATGGGGGTCATTCATTAATTGGGGGAGGAGATTAGATTGAACATAGATGGTTTGGTTTCGGCCAGTGACATCCATCTATTCCCAAAAAGGAATTCTAGGCCATTTGTGCGAAGAATCGGACCAGACCTGCCGAGGTTGCAGGGCAGAGCATCGAGCGCTCGATTTGCGGGGATCCCAGCTGCCATAGGGTCAGTCCCTCGTCAAAGACTTCTTTACCGCTCCAAAGCACGGGGTTTGGGAGTACCATGATTTTCAATGGGCAAAACCGCAGGTAGTTGTTGGCTTCACCCAGGTGCCATGTTGGAAAGCATGTATTTTGAGCAGCCCGGTGGCACTGATAGCTATAATATGGGTATGGGTCAAAATTAAACCACCAGGCCCTGGTGCGTACTAATAGGGTATGTACATAGATTTTGAAATGCTGGTGCTCAAGCGCCAACCGACAACCGCGCAACAGTCCCAAGAGCACTACTGTGGATGGACGAAACCCTGCACCACTTTGAAACCATGGTTGAAACCATTCTTTGTTGGTTGTTGGTATTTACAGGAGAATCATCATTCCAGGGTTTCTTAGGTGGTGCAGGATTTTGTCCATCCACAGTATCAATAACCACTCCAACATCAACAGCAGCAGCAGCTGCAGCAACCAACGGAGCAACCAGCGGAGCAAAGTAACCTTTCCATGGGATCCTGCTTCTTAGGCTTGGCTCCAGCAGAGGCGGAGATCGGATTGAGCGAGTCGTGTGGCGGTCTTCGTTCAGCTTTTTGGGCAATTCAGAGATTGCAAGTGCGGAAGCGTGACTTGGCCTTGTTGAGCACTGTTCCGGGTGCTATACTCCATTCAACTACGGGATTTGTCAACTAACACGAGTCGTGTCGCATGTGGGAATGCGTCACAATAAATTACACTATCTTAGAGGCCTCATTCGAGCATTTAAAAATGAGGTCTCTTCAGGACTCCGTTCAGAAGATAAATGTCAAGTTAACTTTAAATGAGCCACAATCAAACCCGGGTAGATGAAGGTTAGTAAAGGATGATCCCAACCATAAATAGCTGCGGCTGCGTTCTTTGTTCCTTACATGGTTTTGGGTAGACCATTTTAGTGCCGGGTTTTGATTGTGACTCAAATGAACATCCGATGAAACCTTTCTTGAAGGATCATATGTTGTTTACTTGAGCTGCGCTTGAACTTCGGCTGTCCCTAAATCTAATTTGCTGGATCCATTTTCTTGGTGCTCAGTAGGGAATGAGGGAATGATCCCAGGGGTCCCCTTATAGGAAACGACAAAGTGATGGTTTGTAGGGGGCATTCCCTCATTCCCTGCTGAGAACTAGCACGTTTTAGGGGTTTCATATCGGATTCGGGAAAAAACAAAGTGTTTCTGCCAGGTTCTGGATGCTGGCACGGTACGCTTGCACTCCTCCAACCCCGAGGCGGCGAGCGCGGTGGGGTGAAGATTGCGCGCCGAGGAACGCCGAGTGCCAAACCAAAAGAGGAACGCCGGAGGTAGGATGTTGGAAGATGTTTCAATTTGGTTCCTGACCCTCTTTGAACCAGTGGTTCACACTACCCGCGATTGAACCAGCATTGTTTGCAGTGGTTCAAAAAATGTTTGAACTGGTTCAGGGCTCCTTAAAAGATACATTTTGCCCATTTTAAACATGGCTTTTTCCACCACAATAAAGGGACACCACCATTTACAAGTTGCAACGTTCAGTTGTATAATGTAAGGATCCCTGTGGTTTCTGGACCTTTGATTGTCAATCCCATGCCAGAGGGATGGGGAACCTTGAGGCTCGTCCTGCCACTGTCAACGTCCAACTTCCCGCAGTGAGGCGCAGCCTACTCCGTGGTTTGTATAAGCGTGATACAACGAGCCTGTAAGACATACAGCTTAGTTGGTTGGCGGAACCAAAGCTGTTGTTTCGTGTGTTTTGCAGGGAATCAAACCTGTTAAGTATGTTGCCTTCGGATGTCAGTACAATGCATTTACACATCACTGGCCGGCGTGTTGCAAAAACAACGTGCACTTATCATTGACTCGCTTGTGTTGTCTCCCTAGCACTGAAAGTCATCCCGCACTGGACAACACTTGACAAGCGAGTTAGCTGCGCGGTTCCCCCGATCGGAGCCTACGACATGTCCCTTTGTCACATCAGCCGCCAAACACAGCCCCAAAATTCGACTTCTTTTCAATTTTGAGGAAGGATCACGTCGCGCATGTGATGACCATATTTTTGTACCGCCCGCAAACTGGCAGGTGTTTACATGGTGGAAGTGACAATGGATAAACGGTGGTGTTCTCGAGTTGCAGTGGAATGAACTTTTCGGACCTACGCGCAGCCAGTCATGTTCTAAGAGGTCAAGTATAAAGAGTCGCAGACGCCTCGTGGCCCCGAAGGCCAGAGGCCCTGAGCTGGGAGGTGCTCAGAAAGTCCGGTGTCCATTGGGACACAGTCTCCCATGGGTAAACCTCAGTGACACCCAATTCAAACCTAGCGTCTGGATTCTGAACCGCGTCGGGCCTTTGACGGGGCGCAATAGGCCTATGCCCGCTAGACGTGCAGGTCGTCGCGGTGCAGCAGACGGCCGAGGCTTTGGGTTGGTCAAAGCCTTCTCCCAAGGCCCAACCAACTTTTCCAGGGCCATTCTACGGACAAAGCACCAATTTGCCTTTGTCCGGCAATCATAGAAGTGGACGAGGAGCGTGTTCGCAATGCCTGTAGTCTTTCAACAAAAACACCCATGATTGGAAACTTATCCCAAGTGTGCGACCCTGCCTTTCTGTGCCGCGTCCCGGGGCTGAATACACATCCTTTCTGGAAGAGACCCCGTGTTTAAGGCTCAGCTTGGTGCTGTGATGCTTCCGAGGCTGTTCGCCGTGGTAGGAAGCCTGTTGTATCCATTTAGATAGAGCAAAGTCTTGAACTCAGACCCCCAAATTAACGGCACTGGCGAATGGATGTTCTTACGGAGGCACAGTGACGTACATCCTGTGTCAACGTTCTTCAACTGCCAGGATATGGGGGATAGGGCTGATTGATATGAGTGTCAGTCTCAGATTGTGTTTCCACAGCAGCTGCAGCACTTCAAGATTGCTGCTTGCGGCTGCTTTCCCGTTGTAAATAACTTTTTCAACACACACACACACACCCATTCACGCAGGCAGGCACGTATGTCAGCAGACAGCTGTCAGAGTGCAGTGACAGGACAACTGTTGGTGGATGCCTGCACTCAAGTCCAAGCTGCCCAATGAGAGTCCGTCACTATTGATGTGTTGCCGCGCGCTTCATAACCGAGATTGATTAGACTTCTTCGTTTGAGGAAGCCAAGGTCATGACTAATGTTTGTTTTTGTTCTACCGAATTGGAGCATTTCGAGTGTTTGGATTTGTTTTGCCCTTGACTCATCTGGCATGTGTTTTCTTTCTGGATGTAATATTCATCAACTCTTTGACAATTTGTCGAAGCCTCTATTGACATTTGGGGGCCCTTTTCGGATAGGGCCTCACAAGCAATCAAAAGATCAAGACACCAGGTGTTCTTTGGTCCCCGATCTTTAGAGACACTCAGAACTGAACTGCGCCTGGGCAAGGTGGATCCTCGCTACGGGGTGAAGTTCACGGTGATGATGACGTCCATGCAGGCCGCTTCCGTGAACAGCGAGACCAGTGGACTCACTCGGCCAATTTCACTTGTACAGGGACATAGCTCTTGTTGTGTGTGCGCGGGTTTGGCTTTCTCTGAAAGAACCGGAGTAAACCGAGATGTGGAGCCTGCAAAAAGAAGCATCCATGCTCGCCTATGTTGAAGGACTATTGGAGCCAATGCTACGGATTTCGAAGCTACTCTTGAATATAGGTTGGTTTGCGATGTCTCACAGACAGACCCCGGATTCATGCCTCAGCCCCAGTAATGGCCCACCAACCCGTGTTTCACCGCTCCGGTCAGATTCTGTCCGCATGCCGTGCGTAGCACTTGAATCGAAAGGAAGCCTTACAAGGAAAACCAGCATGTTGGGCCTCCCCAACAGGACATACCCTCCCATCCACAAGCGTGGACTCTTACAGGGGATCCTGGGCTACTTTCCTTCAAAAGGGACACCCACTCCCCCCGAGTTCGTGGATTTGAAACTTTTTCGGCTTGGACCGTTTTAGTGGTGAATCAAATGATAACACCTCCTTCGGGTACTTTTTGGTTGGCCAATCCACTCAGGAAGTGGTGGAGTGACCCCCTGCATCCCAGGCGTGGCACCCGCTAATAACCAAACCGAGCCGAGGTCGGCACCAAGAACTGCCGGCTCCACGCCGTGGACCCGGCGATCCGGCGCCTTGTGGCGGCGCCGGGCTGAGAAATAGGGGGGAATCGATAAATGCTCCTGGCCCGTGGGATGGTCATTGGGGAAAACCGCTATAAAGGTTGAATATTATATTTTGACCTAGCCCAAAACTCGCGCCATGTCTAGAGCAACCCGAACCCACGGCTAAACCAGCTAAACCACCTAACACAAGCAGTCCCACACCACCCAAAACCGACTCAAAGTCAACCTTAAACCCTCCCAGCCGCATCCTGCATATCAGCCCTTTGCCAAGCCTAAATGAACCCCAAAACAAACCCAAGAGCTGCCTCGTTAAGACCTCAGCAAGCCCAACACTTCCCCCAAACAAGCCCCGAGCAACTCTGCACTGCCACCATTTCACAGCCAATAGGCAGCCCGAGTTCGAGCAAGGCCAGTGATGCTGGTGATGCGGCCGGTTGAGCCCGAGCAACTCTCAACTACCACCAAATCACGCCCAGTACGCGGCCCTGACGCCGAGCAACCGGAAAATGCTAGGGATGCGTCCCACCAACCTGACCCCCAGCCAACCTCTTTTGAGGGAGTGCTGAGTCGGGGCGAGCAAAACGCCGGGGCTAGGAAAAAACAGAACACCTAAACCCTTGGCTGCCGTTTTAGAACGAACGACTGGGAGTTTCATATTTGGGTGTGAAAAAAAAACAGGATATGGGCGGCAAATTTAACCTAGGTTTCCACTCGGCCGGAGACTTGAGACTTGGAACACCATGTTCCTATGCTACTTCCTCGCTGGTTTCTTGTGGCGCAGGGCATCGGTCGTCCGTAATTTGGCCAGCTCCAATTAATCCTTGCTCGGGTGGGCAGGGTTCCACACCTAATTATTTTTGACGCCCCTCCATGTGGGTGGCTCAGCTCGTTTTTTGAGGGTCCCCAGAGGCTCCTACATCAGAAGGACAAAAGTTTATGCCTCTTGATGGTTTCTGCAAAGCCGTGTGGATCACCCGCGGATCGAATTTTCCAACTCCTTTTCATGTGGCAGGAGTGGGACGGTCAATTATCACCCTCTTTTTAAACTTAAAATACTTTAAAGGCTTTGGAGTGTGACAATTCGACCGCGAATGACCCAGCAACAACTTGCAGGATTCTAGGGGGAAAGGGTTGCTTTTTCTGAGAAGGCCCAAGAGGCACAACTTTTGTCCTGGTGGTGCGTCACGGGAGGGGTGTTGGGTGACAGGCTGCAGACGAGTCATGCTCAATTTTTGTCAATGTGCAGAACTATGTGTTTGGACCTTCACTTGGCAACCGTAGACACTTGAAGAGGCAAGCAGACAGGCATGACATGCGCATGCAAGCGCCCAGTTTTGCATTTCTCCAATGTCGCACACCAGCACTTCACCTGCCAGGTTGAAGTTTCCTGCTGAACAAAGCAGGCAAATCTGCGCCACTGATCCAGGCCGTCAAAAGATTGGCAAGTGAGCAGAACTGCAGTGGCTTCAGCCCGTAGCCAGCCTCACTCGCGCACGGTCTGCCTCTAGCATCTCTTTGACCCAAGGCGCTTTCCCACTCGGCCTTTGCTGCGCGCAACGGCTGAAGGTCCTGATCGTCACGGGATCTTGCAGCTTTGCGGAAGACCTGACTGCAGGCTTCGCGTAGGGCTTGTGGATCAGAGTCTCGGTTGACGCCGGGTGCCACTTGGAGCAGGGCGGCTGCTGCCAAGAGGGCAGAGACAAAAGCGCGTTGGCATACTTGGAGGTGTGAATCCATGAGGAAGCACGAGAAGTAACACCGGACCGACCTATCCTAGCACGGACTTGAGCGTAGAACACAAACATGTGGCGGTGGACTGCGTCACGGGAGGGGTGTTGGGTGACAGGCTGCAGACGAGTCATGCTCAATTTTTGTCAGTGTGCAGAACTATGTGTTTGGACCTTCCCTTGGCAACCGTTGCGAGGATCAGACACTTGAAGAGGCAAGCAGACAGGCATGACATGCGCATGCAAGCGCCCAGTTTTGCATTTCTCCAATGTCGCACACCAGCACTTCACCTGCCAGGTTGAAGTTTCCTGCTGAACAAAGCAGGCAAATCTGCGCCACTGATCCAGGCCGTCAAAAGATTGGCAAGTGAGCAGAACTGCAGTGGCTTCAGCCCGTAGCCAGCCTCACTCGCGCACGGTCTGCCTCTAGCATCTCTTTGACCCAAGGCGCTTTCCCACTCGGCCTTTGCTGCGCGCAACGGCTGAAGGTCCTGATCGTCACGGGATCTTGCAGCTTTGCGGAAGACCTTACTGCAGGCTTCGCGTAGGGCTTGTGGATCAGAGTCTCGGTTGACGCCGGGTGCCACTTGGAGCAGGGCGGCTGCTGCCAAGAGGGCAGAGACAAAAGCGCGTTGGCATACTTGGAGGTGTGAATCCATGAGGAAGCACGAGAAGTAACACCGGACCGACCTATCCTAGCACGGACTTGAGCGTAGAACAGGCCATGTTTTCAGTTTAACAAGACCAGCTGGATGCTTTCAAACATGTGGCGGTGGACATCAGAAGGACAAAAGTTTATGCCTCTTGATGGTTTCTGCAAAGCCGTGTGGATCACCCGCGGATCGAATTTTCCAACTCCTTTTCATGTGGCAGGAGTGGGACGGTCAATTATCACCCTCTTTTTAAACTTAAAATACTTTAAAGGCTTTGGAGTGTGACAATTCGACCGCGAATGACCCAGCAACAACTTGCAGGATTCTAGGGGGAAAGGGTTGCTTTTTCTGAGAAGGCCCAAGAGGCACAACTTTTGTCCTGGTGGTGTAGTACCTAAGGAGGTAAAGGAGGCCTTTTTACCGAGGTATTTGAAACCAACAAAAACGGAGACACAAGGAACCCCCGTATTTTGGATGTTGTCTTTGAGGGTACCCTTTTGCAGTGCTTCCTTGATTTCCCCCGTTTTGGGCCTCCAAAAAAAGCAGTTTCAGCGGAACCCACCATCAAATTGTAGTCCAAAGGGAAATCTAATGACCCTGTTTCTGGGTTGGTTGGAAGGGAAATCAAAAGGAAAGCCGAAGCCAATGTTGGGGGCTCCGTGTCCTGTTTTGAGCCAAGCTTTGTGAACCGGGAAGAGCTCAGGATGAATGACCAGCTATGGGCAAACCAGTTGGCAACCCTTTCCAGCTCGCGAGCCCGGTCGCCGCTTCTTCGTTTGCCCAAAGTCCTCGCTGATCCAATCAGGCCATGCTGATTGTGATCGCAGCAGATCCACCCGAGATCAAGGCGGTAGAGGGGAAGGAATGGCTGCTTGAGCAATTTGCGTCGTTGGTTCTGGGTTTCTACTGTCCCCTTTTGGTTGTTGTAAACATAATTTAGTTGGCTCATTCAAAGTGAGCTTCCCCTGCTTGGGGGCCGATGTTTTTTTCGGGGAAATACCGGGAAGCCTGTTGATGGAGCCCAAGGGAAGACCACCGTTGTCAGAGTTCCCTACTGGAAGACACACTCCTGTTTGATCCATTTTGAGTCGCGCATGTCAGAAGACCATTCAATGCTAATGTTTGATTCAACAATCAGCAGAGCATCCGACCCAAATTCGGTCATTCACAAACATTTGAAGAGGCGTGTGCCAAACTAACGCCGCACTAAGACAGACTTCTTCAAGATGAAAGACTTGATACTTTCCAGCAGGGGAACTCACATGACACCCCAGTTCATCCTCCGGGTACTGTTTCACAGGTTCTACTGTGGATGGACAAAACAAATGCAGCAGTAGGGATGGCCGAAACCCCATGACTACCGGATCAACGATCTACCGACTGGTGCTTGGCGTTGAGGTTGTCCATACACAGTATGTGCGTGCAGATGATATGGCTAGAGAACCACAGTTGTTGGTGGACCTGAATCCCCACCTAAATAATGTCTATTAAAGAGCACCCTATTGAACATCAGAACGGCGATGTCCCCTCCGCACTCGGCGTTTAGCGCCAGATGGTCCACAGCATCACTCTGCCCGTGGGAGCCTTGAGCTATGGTCGGCCCCAACTGGAGTTGTCTCAAGATAGGGGAACCCAAAAAGGATGGGTTTCTCCTTTCAGCTCTTTGAAATAAGGCACACCTGGAAAAGGGTGTCCTCAAAGAACCAACGCCCAAGTTTGTTTTCCACTCTCGGAGATTTATTATTGACGTACTTGACCCTGTCAAGGAGCTCCAATACCGATCCCCAAGTAGATCCTCTAGGGATGCTGCCTGGTCAGATGAGCTTCTCTGTGGCTCTACTCCTGTCCCCCACAGAATCTAAGCCTACGTCAAGCCAACAAGTGAGCAAATACGAAATTAATTCAACTTGGGGGGGTCCTTTGGGGGAGGGCGTTCCTTAGGAAGTCAGAGAGTTTCCCGTCGGAAGGGGGGCAAGTCCCTCAAGAATAATGTTGACCCCATATTATATAATCAGCCCCAGTTTATGAATAGGGGGCGTGTTCGCTTCCAGGAGCGATGATTCCCCACTAAACCCAGGGACACCCCCTATTGAAAAAGGGGCTGACAAATATTGTTGTGAGTTGTTCTCCGGCCTTCCTGTGGGGTGGATGTTCTGACCAGGCAAACTAGTAAAGGGCATTTCCTAGCATTTGATTTGTCAGCAGATGTCAGAAGCCGTTCTTGAGGTAGGACAGGCCAATGTGCGTGTGCCTCATGGTAAGACTGACAATGGAATTTGTGTGGCGAAGCAATGCGTTTTTCCTATGCCTGGTTAGCAGTGTGCTCGCCGATTCGCATCATTCGCACAAACTTAACACGAGCAAACCTGCCTGGGAAGCAACATGACTCTTTCAAACACGGGCTGCTCACGGTGTGGCCTTCGCTTCAAAATGTGTTTAAAGCCACAGACAACTGCTTGAGGCAGCATGCCCCCTAAAGAGCAGCACTAAGTTGTACATGCCCCTCCTCGACTGGCGGGGCTTGTCTCGAGCAGGGAAGTCGTTTGACACCTTATTGTATATGTAATTACTAAGTAAATGCATTTCAAGCATGTGACCTTTCCGAAGTTGGATGCAAGTAAGTTGTGCATCCGACAAAGTTCAAGTATACAATTGGTTTTTGTGTTTATGCTATTTGCTGACCCCTAAGTGTATTCATGTGCAAAGGTTCTGACGGCTGTGCGCAAGCGCTTGCTCTACAAGAACGAGGCCCTTTGCGGGTCAGGTGCAGTGGTTGACTTGGTTGAGTCTAGCGAAGCCGTTGTAAGCCTCTGAGAAGTGGTACCGTTTGTGTATCCAATTCGTCAGTCAGCTTGATTGGTTGCATGGGTGTGTCAGATGTTTTTTTCAGGGAGCCCGTTTTAAAGGGGAAGCGTGGTCAAAAGGTTCTTTACATTGAATGTCCATTGGGGAGAACCTCTAAACATATGATATTTCCCACTAGTGGGAAAAGTTACCAATGCTCATTTGGGGCCCGATGGAAATATTGATCAGCCCCCAAAATAGTGCCTGCTGACCTGATAGTTAGCAGACCTCCCGCTCAATTCGCGGGCAGATTCGCACACAGTGGATGGACTTAGTTGTTTCATCCCATTTTAGAAGCCTTTGTGTTATCGATGTTTTCAGCATTTCAGGGCATGCAGGAAGCGATTCGGCCCCGCCAGTGATGAATGAAGCGATGAAAACAAATCATGTTTTGCCAGTGCCATTTGGGTTCCGCCTGACCCAAAGCTTATCAGTTTGCTGCTGGCATGGGCTGGGCATGAATTGGTTTCCACTGCAAGGCCACGGGAGAAGAGCGGGTCGCAAAGGTGTTTTGCTCGCCAAGGCTTACCAGCTCAAACGAGGGGAACTTTGCTAAAGCATGCGCTGCACTAGGGCGCCAAATCGGAAGAACGCCTCGGATGTGGCCGCGGCCTTCTGTTTCAGAGTCCTGTCGGGTTCTTCGGCAATATCTTGCCGAGGGAGGAGATTGGATATTTGGAGCATGAAATACATCAGTCCACAGGCTTGCTTTGCTGTTCAATACTTGTTTTCTTTCTGCATTCCTGCTTGACAACAGTGGTGTTGTGACAAGCCAATGTTTTCGGCTATGCCCGGTGTGAACGCAACCATTTACAACCTGCGGTAATATAGGGATCACGCGCGACACAGACATCAGTTTCCTCACGTCTGACGGTGCTGAGCAGTTCAATCATCACGAAACAAACTTTTCACAGCAGTGGTTGAACTCCGATGTTTCATTTCCGAAGGCTCACATCGTTGAAGTTTGACTTGAGCTCCCCGGACAAAGCCACATCCCAGAGAAGCTCATAGACAAAACAGTTGTCCAGAAAAGTGGCTGGTTAACAGAAATACACGGGGATTACAGGAAGGACACATAGATTCAGGGTCCCTTGAAGTGAGCAGTTTGAGGGGCTGTCAAAATAACCTTGGCTGTTTTCATTTTGACCAGGGTTCCACTTTTCGCCTAAGGCAGACTTAAACCAAGGGGGTTCCCTTGGTGGGGAATCAACCACCCCTGGGTTTAAGTCTACCTTGGGGTGGTCAGAAAGTGGAACCGTGTAAACCACCATGTAAAGGGTGATGAGGAATCTCGCGTGCGCCTTTGGAGGCTGTGCGCCCGCTCAAGTGCCCCAGCTCGTCATTTGATTTCTGCCACCGCAGGTGCCGACTTAGGGCCAAACTGCAGGTGGTTGGTGTCCTTTCGGTTTTGTCCGAAACCATACCACAAGAAAACCCTTCCCCATTTAGAGCAAATTGTTGACCCTTTTGTTTGTTACCTTTCGGGCGAACGTCAGTGCCTTCAAAGTTTGCCGCAAAACATTGCTGCGAAGCAATGCCCAACCGGCACAACTTGTGCAGGCCTGGCTTTCATCCGCCAAATTGGCATATGGGGTGGGTGCTTTCGTTGGGGGGAAGGCTCTACCAGCGTTAATGCATTTGTACCTTAGTCAAACTGCATTTTTTATTGGGACTTTAGACAGGTGCCATTATAGATCTCAAATCGTGGCAAGTGAGCCACGCCTATGACACATGGGCCCATGAGTGCTTGTTTGAATGCATGCAACAATAGACATGCTTTGTGCATACATGTTTGTAGTTCTATACATATTAGTCTGTCTTTTGAGATGGGACACCCCTTTTTTGATGGTTTTACAAGGGACCAAGAGGTGCTCAAAAAATATTGTATATGTAAATACATATTACATACCAATATATATATATATGTATGTATGTGATAGCGGAGTTTTCTCAAATTTGGACCCCTTTGGGTTTGTGATTAAACAGAAACCAAAGAAACAATCCGATTTTTCAGGGGCCCTAGTTTTGAACATCTCCAGACATTGCCCTGGGGGAGGTTCCAAGCTGTCTGTCGCGAAGTCACGGGAATCCTTTACTCGCCGGAAAGGCTTGACGGCTTTCCAGAATGCGAGAAGGCTTCCCTACGACCAGATTTCGACCAGATTTCCCTTTTTGGATCCTCCAAAAGTAGTGGCCTGGCGTAAATTGCAACCTTTGGAGGGGAAATCCAGCGATTCCTGTACGAATTTGGGTGTCCCCGCTTGGTTGGTTGCCTGTCGGTTTTGCTTCAGATCTTCAGAGAATCCCAACTTTGGAGCACCAGGGTCTGCGGTTGAGCCGTAGCGACCAAGTCCAACTGCTCGGTAAGTCCGTGTCCCTGTTTTTGTTTGCCAAGCCTAGCAGACAAAACACGCACTTTGATCGTTGGTTTCAACACCTTCCCGGAAAGGGCGCAGACAAACACACTGTCGTTGTGTTCTTTTTGTTGTGTTTGCCCCTCAAAGCCATCCCCAAGCCCAGCCCCAGTTTTGAGGACTGGTTGTTGTTGAGCAGCACACACACACACACAACTTGGTGGTTCCTCAGCCATCCCCTTAGCTTTCGAGCTGTTTAGTTGGTTTAGTGGGGGGTTTCCATTTCACCCACTAGTTAAACACTTTTCGCAGGCGATCTGCGGACAGTCCAGCCAAATGCTCCTTTCCCATTCGGCGAAGCCTGCCAGCGCTCAGGTACGCCGTGCGCTGCTCCGAGCCTGCCTTGGTGTCGGTTCAGCCGGGTACCGAGAACGGCTTTGGGTGGACAGGTTCGCGTTGGGAGGAAGCTCGCAGTCTAAGAAGTTGGTTGATTTCAAGGGCAACCGAAGGGAAAACCACACCCAAAAATCGGGATCCAAATCCCTATTTCGACACAAAACCCAAGTAGCAGCGAAACGGGAAATTCCACAGGAAATCCTTGTGTGGGTAATTTGCAAATTTCCGTAAATCCTGCAAGCTCCCATGAAGGTGCGGAACGAGTTTTGCATTTTTGATGTTCAACTTCTAAGTCGCTAACTGGGGTTGGTTGGTATCTTGGATGTTCAACCAACTAGGTAACTTAGTAGGTAAGGAGGGAGCTAGGTAATTTCGTGTTCAAACGACCCAGTTGCCGTAGCTCAAGGCGGCACCAATCCAAATGAGGCAATTGTTGACCCCCCAGCCAACTCAGTAGATTGCCACCAGGATTATAACTAGGGAAACTGGGGTTGGCTCCCTTATAAGCTTGGTTGTGCGCAAAGTTGGTTGAACATCCAAGATGAGTTTGCCTTCGTAACCCATTGAAGCCATGTAATGAATTGCCGGCTTTGGATTCATAATTTTCAATTGTGGTGGACTAGGGTGTTCCCCGACAAATGAATGTTGCATCTAACATGGGACAGCCCATATTAATCCAGCAGGGCTTGACTTTATTTATCATGCTGGATCGCCATATGAACGAGGCTACTCCCAAAGGTTATCCAATCAAGCGTCATATCCATGTAGCTAGTCTGGAAGGCTGAAAGCAGGATGCACTGTGGCTCGAGGTAATGTCTTGGTGATTTCCAGCTCACACACCGATTCTGGAACATGTTCCTGTGGAGATTAACCAACTTGATTGTGTTATACAAGACATACTTTGGATACATCAAGTAGGGCAGGTTGTTTCGTTTCCAGCACCTTTCGTGAGCTCAGATGACAGGGTGCCCCCTAAGTTGCTGTGCAACTTAGCGGATACTTGGAAGTCCTTGGGCTAGAAACAGTTTCCACGATTTGCTCGGGCGCACCGGCTAAGGATGCTTGGAACATTTCGGCTTCTGGATCTCGCGGTGCCTCCATGTTGCAAAGTTATTCTGGACTAGTGGTGGGCCGCAACTGGCCATTGTATTTATTTGTTCCCAACTCGGCCGCCTTTGCTTGGTTACAAAGGCAGTTGTTTGGTTGTGCCCATGTTCAAAGGCAAGCCGTTCAGGTAAGCAACCAGTTTAGAGGAACTCCCCAACCGACCAGCAGCAAGCAAATGTTGGTCTCACACCCCGCCAGCTTCGCGGCCCTCGAATCATCGAATCGCAGGTCGCCAGAGCTGGTGATCAACTCCTTGGACACGAGATGCATCGAGTTGTTGCCCTTGGCCCCAGCTGGCAGGACTTGGCGTGTTTTTTAACTGAAGCAACAAGAAGAAATGACCTGCTATGAACCCGGGATCTGGTCCCCTTACAGGAAACCACCAGTTGGGTGGTTTTTCTTGGGTTCATTCCATGTCTAATTCCCTGTATCGCACCAGCAACGCGTTTTGAGGGGAGAAATTGCAACACAGTGAGGTGTTCTTGAATTCCAGGCTCAGGGGAGCAGGCCTTTGAGGTGTGTAGCGCATCGAGGAAGACTTGAAGTTGGTTGTCACTTCGTCACCTTGGCTTCTTGAACGTGACGCCCAAAGGATGTGTTTTAGCTCTTCCATGAGAGGGTCTAAATACAATGCAGAAGAGTTACTCAATAGTGCAGCATATAAGTGTTTGTTACATTGGGTTTTGAGTCATTCTTAGAAGTAGAGTCTTCTGGAATCCACTTGCTGGAAATTGGAAACGACCCAACAGCAAGCCGGCCATTCGCAAGTGCGATACCAGTTCAGCAGGGAGATCTTGAGCTGTTTTGCGGCCAGCAGAGTAGGCCATTGTGTCATACCTGGCAACACTGACAGCTCATGTTTTGCCAGTATGTGGGACACTTTCAACACCAACGAGTCTGCCTTGCACACTTGCTATCAGAGTTGAGTAGTTGTCCAACTTCCTATCAGTAGCTTCCATAGCACAATTATACAATTATACATGCATTTGTAAAATAATAAATATATCCGAGTGTGTAACACAACAAAGGCACGTGTCCGGCAGAGATCTTCTTCTCCCAGCGTGACATGGAAAGCCAACGCCCCATTCGTTTCCACTCTCATCCAATAGGCCGGTGAGTCACGAACGAAGTGGCGGGGTGCCCTTGGGCTTTGCAAAACCTGCCGCGTCCTGCCTCCCTTGTGTGGGGCTAAGAGAATAAATAGTTGTCCATTTGCCTTCCGTTTGCCTTCCTTTTGCTTCCTTCTGTCACTTGAAGGGCCCTGTCTGTTCTCGAAACAAAGCCGAAGGCAACCCCACCGCGCTCACGCAGAGGTTTCATGCTGTGCCGGCCACGCTGTCCTACAGCGCGGAGGCACGGGCAGAAAGAAAACCAGAGACATATGCGCGTGTGTCTTTTTTCGAGGGAACCCTCCGAGGGAACCTTTTTTTTGGTGGTTTTAATGGGAAACCACAAGGAAAACTACTCTCTCTTTTTGGGGGGAGGGGGGGCCCGAAAAAATAAAACACCCAGAAACAGACGCCAGGTGGTCTGTCGGAGAAGATGCCTTTCCAAACCTAAAAAGGAAAACAGCTGTTCAACCCTATCGTCAGGTTTCATGATTCAACCATGAAGCTTCTTGTTTATGGCTCGCTTGTTCCCACTCGGCAACTTTGCTGGTCAGAAGCAAGAGGAATCACCGTGCTCTAACTTGGCTGACGTTGGCATGTGAAGTAGTCGCCTGAGTGCAACTTGACTCTCGGATGTTTGCGCTGTTGGGCTGAAAACACCTCATAGGTCACCAGTGTGCGTCTTTTTGTTGTGTTCTGGAGGTGTTGCTGCATGTGCGTTTCTTGTTCTAGCTGAACCACAAATCGTGCATGTGGCTCGTTGTGCTTCTTGTCCCGGATAGGAACCACGAAGTTGGATTGGACCCAAATCTGAGGCTTTCTCCAGTTGAGCCCCGCATGCTTGTGTTGGCGCTCTCCCATACGTCGCTCGCCTCCGGAGCAGGCTTGCTGATTTCCTGTTGGCCGGGTTGCCACCCAACAAGGACCACGCATGTGTCTTTGCCTTGTGCTTCTTTCTTCCTGTCGCGACAGGTCTTCCTTTTCATTACCTCCGATGACCCAACCTCGGACGGAGAGCGGAGTGGGGCTTGAAACGAGCCTGTATTGGAAGCCCTACGAGTGTGCCACTTAGTGGTTGCGTTGCAACCACGGTGATTTAATTTGGGGACTAACCCCACCAACTGGGTTGGGAGACAGTTAGCTGAACAAAAAACCTGTTTAGAGTGATGGTGGCCAAGTTGATTCAGGTGGCAAGAGGTGCTGTTTGCAACCGCGTAACCCTGTGTTGCTTTTAGCGTTGGTCCAAATGCTTTCAGGTCTTTGGGCCAAGTAAGCACACATCCCAGATTTTGAGACTGTGATGAGTTAGGCAATGGTATGGAGTAACGGTTAGTTCTCGGACAGTACAAGACCTGGTCGCACCACCCAAGTTGGGCGGGTTCACATCCCCAGATGCCACCGGGACCGCTCAAGCCGTCCCGCGGTGAACCTCAAAACCGTGCGATGAGACTCTGATGAGAAGTACATCCCAGAGCCATGGAGTGCACACACTTACCAGGCAACAGTGAAGGGTTCCTCCTTTTGTCCCAGAGGTATGCGCAGCTCATACCAAGAGGAGGCAATGTATTTCCTTTGGCTGTGGAAGTTTTTCAGACCACGCCCACGTAACCCTGCCATTGCATACATGTCTCTTTTGTTTTATGCATCGTACTCTTCGCGTCTGCAAGTGCTGTGAGTCTTGAATCTGCTTGGGTTAGCTTTGGGTGGGATAGGACATGTCATAACTTGCTAAGCTGCATTTGGCTGTACACACCATGCTCGTTCCATTGCCTTATCTTTAGTTTGAATGTGAGTGTAGCCCCTCTCTCTGTGTCAACTCGCAAACCCCGAGTGCCATTTGCCCTGGCTGATTGAATGTCCAATCAGTTAATTTGTCTCCATCCGACCAGTTAACCCAAAGGTCCCGTTCTTGGCGGTCCCTTCGGCAAGCACCACAAATGCGAAAGATAGCACCATGCTGAGGATCGTGCCATCTCTGAGACGAGATTGCTTCAGCTGTCGTACACCTGAGAGTTGGCAAAGAATGGGTAGGCATTCGAATCAGGGAAAATTGTATCGCAACCTCGCAAAGGAGTGCTGAAGGTTAATGAATTCTCGGTCCTTTACTTCAGGTTGGTAAATTGCTTTCACCTATATAGGTTCTTTTCGTGGCTGGACAGGGCAATTAATTGGTGCATTTTTGCAGCTGCAGCTCTTCTGTGTGGTGTGAGAGAATTGACCAGCTTGCCAGCAGAATGCCGGGAATGTGCATCCCCAGAGGAATTATTTATGTCGAATTTGAGCATGCATCTTGCATTAGCAGAAGCTATCTGGGGCCATGAGCAAATAGCTCATCAAGGACTCTCCAGACGCGCTGCTGAATTGGCTTAGCGCAATGCACTCACATCTCGCACTGTGAGTGCATGATGCTTGCTTGCGGATGTGCTCTCACGCGCAAAAGGTTGCCACACAGAGTTCACGCCAGGTGCCTTTTGGGGTTGTGGGGGATCAAGTGGCTCTTATCTTTCTCAAAAGTAATGTTGCTTTCATGTAATACTGGTACGCTTTGTTGATTTTGATGAGACAATTCTGGAAGGAGCTTTGCTCGTCGTTTGTACCATCTTTCATCTTTCAGACTTTTGCCTGGCTGCAGGTTGCACATCTGAACGATCCGTGCCGTGCCAAAGTCTCAGGGGTCCCCAAAAATTGGTGTTTGTGAGCTGTCATCCTTTCGACTGCTAGGCCATGAGGTGATTGTCGACCTTGCTTGAAGCCCCAAGGCTCCAACTCGCCGCAATCTGAATGATTTCCCTTCAAGATGCATCCCAAGGAATAGGCCTGTTCTGAATAGTGATGAGAATGATACCCTGCCAGTGGATGGAGGGTTGGGGATGCCTGGTGGGCTCGTAGCATATTCCCAAGAAACAATACTTTTCGATTTCTTTCTCTTCCTAAATGCAAATGGCAATCATCTACCACAACCAAAACTACTAATTTAGCAGGCAATCACATTCAGTTCCTTGTTGGTTGTTTCAAAGGGAAACCAAAAGGAGACCGACCATTTTTGGGTTCCGGTATTTTGACCCCCTATTTTAAGACACATACACCGAGATGGAGGGTTCCCTACGGTGTTTCCTTATGGTTGTCCCCTATTTTAGGACACACACACACAGACAAATGCGTCTTTTTGAGTAGGTACCCCCTTTTTGGGTTGTTTTAAAGAGAAACCACGAGGAACACCCCTTTCGCGGGCACCGCCCCCAAACAAAAACCGACGAGCGAGCCGTCCACGTTGTCGTCCCCAAAGTTCCTCGCCGTGCGCAGGCACAGGCGCTGGTGTCTGCTGCGCGGGCGCAAGATCTTGGAGGCGGACAACCAAACTGGCAAGATGCTTTGCGTTGAGTTGTTTTGGGTTTTTAGTGTGAAAGAAAAAGCGACTCTGAATAACGAGATTCATTTCTTGGCGGTCCCCGGCCGTCCGGTTGGTTTTGTTTGGGTTTTTGTAGGTTGGCTTAGTGTACGTTGTTCTATATTTACTCACTAAAAGAGGAACTTTTGGCTGGGGCACTTTTAGGGGGTTTAGTGGGAGTTTCCGTTTAACCATATTTAACCCTCTAGGAATCTAAAAGACAACACTTTTAGTAGGGGAACTGAGGACAGCCCAGCTATTGAAATTCCCTTTGCAACCACCAAGAGCAGACGGGCTCCAAAACACGCGCACCAAGTAGAATGTAACCATACTCACTTGTTCAAAGTGAATCGTTCTTCTGACCTTTTGTGTTTCCCCTCTTGGTGGATTTTTTACATGTTGTTTTCAAGCCCGTCAGCATAAGGGAGCTAGCCCCTTTCCCAGTTATCATGAGTATGTCCTCCCTAAGTGGGTTGCCGTTCGGTGGCTTTGGTTTGACAAACTCCCGCAGGGTCGAGGATTTCTACGTCTGGGAAATACTCGGTGATTCAGAAAAAAAGTCAGTGGACAAGGGGCCTTTTCATCGTTCACTTGCTTCAGAATAGGTTTTTCGTTTCTTGGCTTGATAGGGCACGTGTCACTACTGGAATGTTTTCCAGGGGGCGAAGCACAAATGGAACTGTCACTAGTTCCTGGACTTTGTACCTTTTTGGGCTTGGACCATTTTGGTACAAAAAAAGCTTTGGACTTGTTTTGGGGCAGCCACCCGGGAAGTGAGGTGGGTCAAACACCTTGTTACTTGCGGCTACTATGGATGGTCATCCACTTGGGCAGAAATTGCAGACCAGCAAAGGGCTTCCTTCTTCGGGCTTGACCATGACATTGCCACTTCTTTCCCGCGTAACACCGCTACCATAGTACTGGTCCAAGTGTTCTTGAGGGCCTTCACAATTAGAATGGGCTTGTGGGTGTACTTCCAACCCAAACTAAGGCATCATACAACGAGCGGCGTGTTTTAATTTTGTTCGGTGCCTCATGTCTCGCAGCTGCGACTTGCAAGGAGTTCCTGGTGGCTTCAACTCGCTGGCGGCATCGCACTCTCCTGAGACCCGGAGGGGGGGGGTGGTGAGGGGGTGGGACTTGCAACCTGCCCCACGAAGCTTGAAGCTTGACTTGGCGATTCCCTCATTTGTGCAGAACTAGGTCAGCTAGGTGCCCTTGGCCCCCACCTTTTTTGGGGGGAGGGTTCCCCTACTAAGATAGACTACAGAAAAAAGGGTATCCTTATTCTAACCTCTGCTGGAGGACCTAGATAACTTGCTGTAAGTTGCGCAGATGACTTGATGTAGCATCTTCTGCACGAGCACTGAGAAGCTCTTTGGGGTGCACTGTTCCAAGTTATGGGCACCCTTGAGGCTTCTTCCCAGGGTGCGCCAACCGATGTTAAGCATCAAACGCTAGCAACCATTATGCATTTCGTCCAATGGTTGCGTCGTGGGGAGCCAAGGGTCATCTCATGCTGGGGTTTATTGCCCGTGTGCCTATGCTAAGGTCCGATCCTTTTGGACGAGCGGCCTACCGGCCACCGGCTCTATGAATACTCCTTTCATGCTTAGAGACACGCTTCACCTGTGTTATTCATGTATTGACATGTCGGGTCAGTCAAGAGGCTTCGATCATGCCTTCTTTGCTGAAGGCTCACACTCACAGATCAGGAGGGGTCCTCAAGAGCCAGAGATTCCAGTTTGAAGCTGATCTGCTTCTGCTCACTTTGTATGATGGCTGCCAGTGGCTGAACAGACTATCATGCTGTTGGCTCGGGACGTGGACATTACATTTTTAGCAACCACCCCTTTGAAAGTGCGACCAGGCGCAACCACCCTCGAGCCAACTGCCCATCCCCACACTCAGCCGCGACTCATCCGGTCCTCCATGGACTCCGGGAGACCTGAGGCTTAGACCAGACTATTGCGAACCTCGAAAGCGCTCCGCGGTGGGCCTGAGACAGAAAGAGCGAGAGGGAGAGGGAGAGAGGGAGAGAACACAAAAACAAGAGGTTGGACTGACTCCTTGATTTCCTGGACTTTATACTTTCTTTGGGCTTGGATCATTTTAGTGGTTAATAAAAAGCTTGGGTACTTTTGGGCCATTCACTGAGGAAGTCAGAAGCGGTTGGAGTGAAATGCGAGCGTCTTGACTTGGAAATGGCATGAAAGAAACGCGACCTGTATTGCTGAAGTCCATCGACTAGGTTATTTCTTTCAAGGTAATGTTGACCTGTTGACCCCGGATTGATAAACCCGTCCTATTATCAGGAGGGTGTTCCCTCCAAAAGGGGACGCCCCCAATCAAAACCAACCACCGCTTTATTGATCTGGCGTGAACAGTAGCGTGGTGTTTTCGGTGATGGGTGGGTACATTGGAGGTGCTTGCAACAAGCACGGGCCTGATCAAAAATATCGGACTGTTTTTCGGGTCAACTTGCGAAAGGCCAAGTTACCAAGTGTCAAAGCTGTTGACCACTGTGTGACGCAAGGTTCGAAGGAAACTGGCTGCCCCTCTTGAAGTCGAAAAGCAACAAGTCGAGAGCCAAGCAAGAGGTGGACATTCATTGTTCGAGGGGCTTTTACTGGAATATGGTGTCGTTTATTTCCAATCACGCCCGCAGGCCCGGCTGTGACACAACCAAGTATGTAGCTCACCGGGTCTAGAACCATCATTCCGGGTCTAGGGCCAACCTTCAGTTAGACGTGTGCCAACTGCAGCTTCGTGTGGAATAATGTGTTCCAGGCCGAGCTTTGGACCTGTTTGACCGATTTTGGGCCACTTGGAGTTAAGGCTTGAAACGCTCAACCCTATGTTCAGGGGTGCTTGCAAGCGAGTACGTGTTTGTTTTTTTTCACAAACTCTGCAGACAAGTGAGTATTTGCCAACTGTTTGTTATCGGGAACCAGGATGAAGAACCCGCCCTGGATGAGTACATAGGGCAGAAGTGTCTCATTTCAGAGGGGATCCATCACATGCCCAACAATCAACCAGGTTCATTAATCGGGGGTCAACATTACATCACTCCCCAAGTTCATGAACTTGCGTCACTTCTTGGGCTTGGATCATAGTGGCCAACAAGAAGTTCGGGTACTTTGTTTGGCCACGCCACTCGATTGGAAGTGAGTTACAGACCATACCCCTTACTTGCTGGTTCTCAGCAGGGAATGAGGCAATGACCCCGATACAAACCATTTTCATGCTTTCCTTCAAGGGAATCCCTAGATTCATTACTCCCATTTGCTTAAGACTTTTTTTTGTTTTCCCTTGTTGGTTTTAAAGGGAATCTATCACTACTGGAAGTATTTTTCCCGGGGGCGAAAACGCAAAAGGAAGATTATGGATCATGCCCGACTCCATCGCACCCATGCCTTCCCTGCGCCAAAAATTCCCCGCCTGGCCAGTCTCCTCCGCCTCCGCCGCAACTTCGAGCTCCAGAGCGGCTCTTAGCTGGAGCTTCAAATTCCCGTGGCCTCCAGAAGAGTATGGGTCAAAATGAGATCGTTAGAAAACCGCAGGTTTTAGCCCATGTTTCCATTTACCAGGGTTCCATTTTGGGCACCTATTTTTGACCCAC